GTGGCCCCGTCCCACCACCACCCTTGTCCACGCCGTGACTCCCACGCAGCCTGGCCTCACTTGGATCCTTACCTAATCTGCCCATCACATGGCCTGGCTTGGTTTCTAGCTCTCCATTTTCAGCCCAATCCATTCTGTCCCAGAGATGGGCTTTGACTGTCCCTGAACTCTTGCTTGAAAGGGGCAGGAGACAGATATCCCAGCCCGATTCCACACTCCGGGGAATCAAGACCTCTCTGTGGCCATCGTATGCTGCACAGAGACCCTCTGGCGCATGGCCAGGGCGCCTCTCGCCTCTCTGTGCATCCAGGGGCCGGGCCATCTCTCTCTGACCAGGACAGCCTGGCTCTGTGCATGGCTCTGACACCACACAACTCTGAAATCAGCCATCAGCATGGCTCAGTGGATAGAGTGTTGGCCTGCGGACTAAAGGGTCCCAGATTTGATGCTGGTCAATGGCATGTACCTTGGTTGCAGGCACATCCCCAGTAGGGGGTGTGCAGGAGGCAGCTGATTGATGTTTCTAACTCTCTATCCCTCTCCCTTCCTCTCTGTAAAAAAATAAATAACATATGCATTTAAAAAAAACAAAAAAAACCCCACCTCTGAAGTCAGTATTATGCCCACCCAGACATTGGGTCCTGCTCCCCTGACTTTGGCCCTTGTCTCTGAGCTGCCCTCACCTGCCCCGTCTAGACTAAACCCTGTCTAGCTCCTCACCAACCTGGCCCCTCACCTGCAAGAGTCTCAACCTGGCATCAGCTCTCCCTTCTCCCCGGCTCGGACCATCCACGGCTCCCGTGGCCCCCCGCTGGGCACTGGAGGCCTGTGAGGACCCAGCCCCAAGAGCACCAACCACAGCGTGCTCCCCTCTCCCAGTGCTCTCCCACCTCTAGCAGAAACGCACAGGCCTCTCTCTCCTACCAGGTGCTCCTTCTGTCCACTGGGAAAACCCTTAAACACCTTTCCCAGAAAAGGCCCTCCGAGGAAACCGTCCAGGGGCTGTCCCGGGCCTTCTGACCCAGCACGGGGCTCGGATGGTCAGGAGAGAGTGCTCCTTACGCGAATGGGTAAGACACTTCCTGGGTGGAGGGAGGATGGATGGGAGCAGGGTCCCAGGCTTGGAAAGAGAAGATGTGATTCCTGCCCCCCCACCCTCACCCCCCAGAACTTCAACCTATTTCCCAGCATCAAAATCTGAGACCCGTGAGGGTGGGTCTCGTTTGGGGTTGGTATTACAAGATCCAAGTCCATATGGCACCCACTCCTCTCCCAACTGTGACCCATCTGGGAGGGGGCTAGGTAGGTTCACTTCTCCACTCACCTAGTGTGAAAAGTGAGCCCAGGGAAGGTGAATGGCGTACCCATTCTCATAAGGAGTCAGATGCCCCCAGGAGCCAAGACTACCAACCAGGTTGGAAAGCTGGTGCCAGAATACCTAGGAACCCTGTAGACCAGGTTCGGCAAACTGCGGCTCGCGAGCCACATGCGGCTCTTTAGCCCCTTGCGTGTGGCTCCTTCCACAAAATACCACATGCGGGCATGCACGTACAGTGTGATGGAAACTTTATGGCCCATGCATGTGCAGAAGTGGGTTTTCGGCTCTCAAAAGAAATTTCAATCATTGTACTGTTGATATTTGGCTCTGTTGACTAATGAGTTTGCTAACCACTGCTGTAGGCAAAAGCCCCTGGGACATAGGAAGGTACAAAGATTCCCTTCCTGCCCTGGCCGCTAAGAGGAAAGCCCAGCAAGCCCAAGCCCTACCCCTGATCAGCTGTGGCCTCCAGCATGTTGTGTCATCCCTCCATGCCTCAGTTTCCCCACCTTACAGGGCTGCTGTAAAGACGAAGAAAATTAATTCACAGGGACAAAGCGCTCCATCCAGGCCTACAGCAAGTGCTCACTACACGATTTTAACGTAAATAAAGGATGCCAGCACTTCTCGAACCACATCCCCATGTTCCTGCCACCACCTCTAGGATTATCTGCTTGTCTCTTCCCTTCACATCACGCACCGTTTGAATCCAACCCCCTCGGTTTTAGATGGAAACATTTCATTGTTACCAAGACTGGGAAAATAAGAAGCCACGGCCACAGAGGAAAAACATGGAGAAACAGACACAATGAAAACGAAAGCTTGTTATTCAATTACCACTGGATATTGCTGCTTTTTAACTGGCTGTGCCTCTCATTAACAAGGGAGATTAGCAAGTGTGAGAGAAACATGAAGGATCCGGTTAGCACCCAACAGAGACTTCTTAAAGACTCCAGGCCCGAGGGTGGGGAGAAATCTGGGAAGGTCCGGCCCCAGCTCAGCTCTCTCGCTCTTCTCCCCGGGCTGGAGCCCTGCCTTCAGCCAGGATAGAGCCTGGGCATTTGAGAACAGCCGCCCTGGGCTAAGATATCGTTACTTTATCAGCCAGACCCTGAGGCTCCTGGAGGCGCAGTACCTCATGGGGCCCCCACAAAAAATCCTCCCTCCCAGGCAGGACTGGCTCTCCCCACCAGGAGTCTGTCCTGCTCTGCCATTCCCACCCTTGTCACATTTTTAAAAAAATATATTTTATTGATTTTTACAGAGAGGAAGGGAGAGGGATAGAGAGTTAGAAACATCGATGAGAGAGAAACATTGATCAGCTGCCTCCTGCACACCCTCCACTGGGGATGTGCCCGCAACCAAGGTACATGCCCTTTGACCAGAATCGAACCCGAGACCCTTCAGTCCCCAGGCCGATGCTCCATCCACTGAGCGACACTGGTTTCGGCCCTTGTCCCATCTTTGCAGCATCAGCCATCTAGCCCAATAGCTCGGTGATCAGCTGCTGCTTTTCAATAAACCCTTAAAGTCTTAAACTAATGAAAACAGGTTTAATCTTTACATTCTTAAACGAATGAAAATCTGTTTGATCCTTTAATAACATTTTGGTGAAATTCTTACATTTATTTTTTTCAGGTTCTCTTTTTTAAATTTTGTTTTTAAAAGAAAGTTTCCAGCACCACCATAAGCCTTACAACCAGGATCTCCTGTGACTCTGATGGCAAAATCCATGGAAACGGAACGAGGGGAGGGATTTGTTCTGGGGGCTGTTGCCTCTGTGCCTGGAGCCTGCTCTGCCCTCGTGGGAAAGGACCACGAGCGAGGAATGAGCGGGGGGCAGGTGTCCCAGTCAGGGCAGTGCTTGGGCAGCCTCTCCTCACCATCGTCAACCCAAGGGCTGGGCAAAGAGGCTTCTCTCTCAAGTCTATTCGAGCCAGGTAATGCCAAGTCCCACCCCACATCTGTACCCAAAAAAGCCAGTGATCCACCTAATTGGGGGTGAGGGGGCGCATAGCACCATATCTGACCTGTGACCAAGAAGGTACAGGACAGGGCACCCTCCTGTGCTGGGTGACGCTGGGGCAGTACTGCCCCTCCCAGGGCCTCAGTGTCCACACTGAGAAAGAAAGGGGTGGTGGGGAAGGAAACAATGAGATCCGATAAAACAGCCCTCCTAGCTCTGCTCTGGGAGGGCATTTTCCTGGATTTTCACCTCTCGTTCTCCAGGGCAGCCCCCTCCCCAAGGCCACACCCTGCCCGGGGCCTGCTGTCAGGAGGCCTAGAGGCTCCCCCTGGTCCCTGGGAGCAGAGCAGGTAAACAAGTGGGGGATCGTAGCGCAGACAAGTCTGGGCCCTGGCTCCCCTGAGCCCCTGGCTGTGCTCCCGGGGCGGGCGGCTTGAGGAGCAGCTAAGGCCTTTGTCTGGGTTTTCTAAAGCAGAGGACACTGGGTGTCACATTCCGAGGAGGGCAGGAGGCGGGGGCTCCCACCCAGTGGAGGGTGTGGTGGGTCACGGGTGAATCCCTGGAGGGAAGTTGTATGTTCAGAAAACACACCCAGTGGGAAGGGCAGGGGGAGCTGGACTGGCTAGACCTACAAGGCCAGGCCCCCTGCCCCATGGGGACCTGCCTCAGTGCCGGACAGCAGATGTCCCCCGCTGCACACATAGTGAGCAGGCTGCCGGGACCCCAGACACCTGCTGCCCACACCCTGCCCTGGCAAACACTCGGTACCACCTCCCGGCGCCCACCTGTGGGAGTGGGCGCGGGGCCACCCTGACGCCAGAAAGAAGGACTCTGTCTGAAATGACCGTGCACACTTATTCAGCACCTGCTTGTGCAAGAGCCCTGGCCCAGGAACTCCGCACCTCACCCTCCACAGACCCAGGCCACCCATCCTATCCCAAGCAGCGGTCAGGGCACTCTTGGCTGCACCATTTGGGGTCACTTTCCCCGGAGGGGATCAACTCCCTGCTCCCATGTTGGAAGGCACCTGGACCCCAGTCTCACACACCCCAGACCGGAAGCCAGGAGAGAAGGCCCCTCCCTCCAGTGGTAACTTGGGACAATATCTGTCAGCCAACCCCCAGCCCCCCACCCCCCCACTCCGCCGACCCGGCCTTAACAGGGTCTCTAGATAGAGGCCGGTGGGGAGGGCAGCCAGACGGAGGGAGGATTGACCTGTGGGCGCGTCCAGGGCGCAGGGAGCAGCGAGCTCAGGCTGGGGCGTGAGGGGATGAGGGGTGGCGGGTGGGCTCAAGGCCTGGCTGTGCCATGGGGAGGGGTCGTTCCATCACCCCAGGGGGCCCACTTGGGAGCCCACAGGTGGCCGAGGTGAGCCCAGGGGGCGCGGGCAGGGCGCGGGCCGGGCAGGAACAGAAACGCGCGCCTCCCCCTCCCGGTGTCCTGGGCTGCCCCCCAGCCGCTCGCGCCCGAGTCCCCGCAAGCCCGTGGGCCTCTTGGTGGAGTTGGGTGGGGTGGGGTGGGGTAGGTCTCAGGATCGGCGCTCCCCAGCCCGAGTCTTTCCGGGGGAAAGACTGAGCTGGGGGTCCCGGAAGCCCCTCGCCACCTCCCCCTCCACGCGGGGGCCGCGCTGCTCCGGGTGGGGGCGGTGGAGAGGCCTCGCCCCTGGCTGCGCCCCCGCCCACAGCCCTCCGCCCCGGCCCGGGCGCGCCTACTCACTCCATCTCCCTGCGGAGGTCCGATCGGGTCGGCGATGCTGAGCCGGGGCGAGCTTTGGGGGTGCGCGGGGCGGGAGGAGGGCGGCGGGCTACGGCCAGGCGGCCCGGGCTGCGCGGCGCGGGGGCGCAGGCGCCGGCTCCGGCATCGCCCCGCGCGCGGCTGTTTATTGTCCGGGCGGCGGCGGGAGCGGGGGGTGGGCTGAGCGCGCGCGCCGGCGCCGCCGCCACCGCGTTTCGCTGTCGCTCCCCTCCCCGCCCGGTCCCCTCCCACCTCCCGGCGCCGCTGCCGGCGCTGCGCCCCCTGCCGGCCGCCGGCGACGCCGCAGCTCCCCCAGCCCCGCGTGCTGGCCGTGCCCGCAGCCTCCCCGGAGCTGCGCCCCACGCCCCGCCCGGAGTCATCCATCCCTTGTCCTCGGAGCTTCATCCCAAGGAACAACAGCCTGTGATTATTGGAATGGAGAGTCTAGAGGGTTCGATGCTGACGGCCAGGCGGAGTCTGTGCGCTAGCCCTAGACTTGGCCTGGACAAAACCCTGTCCCTCCCAGCTCCCGGTCCAGAGGGAAGCGGGGGAGGGGAGGCTGGGGGCAAAGGACCCGGGGAATGGCGGGGTGGGGGTGGGGGGAGAGTCCGGGAGGCCGCTCCGAGGAACTGCCGCCTCTGCTGCAGCCTGGCGGTCTGCAGGAGGAGCGTTCAAGGCGGAGGGCGCTGCAAGTGCAAAGGCGGGGCTGTGGGACCCAGCCAGACCCGGGTGAGGAGGAATGATAATAACACAGCAATTCCTTAAGCTTCTCAGCGCTTGCTGGACGCTGGTCCTGGAGCTGGAGTTGGAGGAGGGTAAATGATTTAAATCTGCCTCAGCTCTCACAGCACACACTGCAGGCCTCTGTACCCAGAACGAGTGAGGTGGCTAGAGGAGGAAGCCAGGAGAGCTCAGGCTTTATCCTGAGGCACTAGGGAGCCACAGCAGAGTTTAGAGCAGGAGCTGAACCAACCTGATTTATTTTTTGTGATGGCCCCTCTGGCTGCCAGGTGGGGAGTGAATTAACAAGGGCAAAGTGGAGAGGTGTGGAGGCCTGGCAGTGGCTGAACTGGGATCCCACCCCCCTTTCAGGCTGAATAAGATTGAAAGGCAGGTGGATTGTGGCTGAATCTTGAAGGGAGAGCTGCCAGGATTGCTACCGATGGGTTGTGGGATGACAGGCATTGGGGTCTCTCCATTTCCAGACTGAGCCACTTGAAGGACATGTTAACATGATGAGGTTGGGGGAGGGGGACAACAAAGAATGACATTGGGTAGGCAGCTGGCCGTCTGGGTTTAGGGTGAGGCCTGGGCTGAGCTAGGGGAAGTCTGGACAACATCATGTAAGAAGCAGGCACAGGCAGAAGACAGAGGCAACCAGTTCTGCCTACCCCTTGATGTCTTGCAGGCTATCTTGAGTCCTTCATGCTGCACGTGTCACTATATGACCCACAGACCAGGAGAGAGGCAGGACCTGTCACTGCCAACATGTATTCTGCAGCCCTGACTTCCCAGGTTCTTATTAAGAACTCTAGTCTCCTGGCCCCAAACGCACTTACTTACTGGGCTCTGACTTCGGGGAGGGCAGGGAAGAGAGATTCTCCTAAAACCCTTCTAAACTATTTTCTTTTTCTTTCTTTCTTTCTTTTTTTAAAATATATTTTATTGATTTTGTACAGATAGGAAGGGAGAGACATAGAGAGTTAGAAACATCGATGAGAGAGAGTCATCGATCAGCTGCCTCTTGCACACCCCCCTCTGGGGATATGCCCGCAACCAAGGTACATGCCCTTGACTGGAATTGAACCCGGGACCCTTCAGTCACCAAGCCGACGATCTATCCATTGAGCCAAACCGGTCTTGGCTAAACTATTTTCTTGTAAGCACTCAGCAGGTGCTTAATGAATGGGTGTGTGTGCAAAGGGAAATAGCTTTGGAGGGGCTCTAGAGAAACATCAGGATGCACCCCCGAGGGGACAGGAACACTGCTCTTTCTTTGTTTATAGGCCTTTTCATCTCCCCCTTTTTACAATGAATGTGCATTCATTTAGCATTAAAATAATGAGATAAATTAGCAAACTTAAAAAAAAAAAAAAAAGACCCAGAGAAACATCAAGGGCCCTGGGTTTGAGTCCCAGCTCAGAGCCACATGTGCTGTGTGACTCTGGGTATGTTTCTTAACCTCTCTGAGCCTTATTTCCCCATCTCTTAGGGCAGCTGGGAGGGTTAACAGAGTGAATACACAGGAAGGGCTTGAAACAAGGCCCAGCACACAGTAGCCCAGGGTTTGGCAAACTATTCCTATAAAGGGCCAGATAATAAATATTTTCAGCATTGCAACCGCAGGTCTTGCATTGCGACATGAAAGCAGCCAGAGGCAATATTTAGTACATGAATTGCTCAGCAAAAGGAAGCTGTGAATAATTCCATGGCTGCCCTCTGTCTCTGTGTTCATTCAGACCAAAAGGATTTATTGAGCACCCACTGTGCACCCAGCAGAGTTAGGTGCCAGGATTGCAGGAACTTTGTCCTCAGAGAAATGGCATTTTTTTGTCTCCTAAGTAAATGATTCAAGGTTCTAGGGATGCTGGATGCATTTTGTTTAAAAATAGGAGGAAGAGTGCTGGCAGCACATACACTAAAATTGGAAGGAGACAGAAAATTAGCATGACCCCTGTGAAAGGATGACAAGTAAATTCATAAAGTTTTTGTTTGTTTGTTTGTTTGTTTGTTTGAAAAAGCCAGTCAGGTATGGCTCAGTGGTTGAGCATTGACCTATGAACCAGGTCACAGTTAGGGCACATACACAGGTTGCCCAGTAGGGGGCGATCAGGAAACAGCAGATCAATGATTCTCTCACATCATTGAGGTTTCTAGCTCTCCCTCTCCCTTTCTCTCTGAAATCAATAAAAATATTTTTTTAAAAGAAAGAAAGAAAGAAAATAGAGCCAAACCGGTTTGGCTCAGTGAATTGAGCATTGGCCTTAGGACTGAAGGGTCCCAGGTTCGATTCCGGTCAAGGACATGTGCCTTGGTTGGGGGCACATCCCCAGTAGGGGGTGTGCAGGAGGCAGTTGGTCAATGTTTCTCTCTCATCCATGTTTCTGGCTCTCTATCCCTCTCCCTTCCTCTCTGTGGAAAATCAATAAGATTTAAAAAAAAAAAAAAAAAAAAAAAAGAAAGAAAGAAAAAAGAAAGAAAAGAAAATAGAAGGATGGAGAGGGACTGTTGGGAGCATCTCTCCTCCCACAAAACATTCTACACCTTTCTCAGCCCTAGACTTTCAAGGGCTCCCACCTCCCTTACATCAAAAGTGAAATTCCTTCCCACAGCTCTCAAGGCCCTGCCTAGGGGCCCCAAGACCCCAACATTCACACCCCAGACTCAGGCATGCAGGCAGTTGCTTCCTAGAGGTAGTGACACATGAGCTGGGGAAAGGAGGTCAGGCAGAGATGGTGGGGAGAAGCATCCCAAGTAGCAAGGACAGAACCCCAAAAAGCATGGAGCTGGGACAAGGCAGGGTGTGTCCGGAACTAGAGCAGTAGGCTTGAGTTGACCTTTCACCCTCCAGAGAGGCAGCCACATCACCCACTTCTTAATCCTCTGCTCACGGAGCTGCAGCTCCCATTCCTCTGGGCCACAGCCCCTTCCTGTACCACTTGCAACCACGATTTCCATGATGATGCCCCTTCTCCTTCACCTCCTTAGCCACCTTTGCCCAGCACCCCTGCCCCTGCTCTGCACCCACCTCACAGCCTGGCTGCTCGGGGACATCCTCTGGGGCCCTTGGACTCCCGGGGAAGCTTCACACAGGCTCTGTGCAGGCCCCCAAAGCCTCCTCTATCCCTGAGTCAGAGATCCCTTTCCCTCCCCTAGCCCTGACTTCAGCTCAGGCCTGTGTCTCCCACCCCAAAAGGAGCCAAAGAAGTGTAAGCTAAACATGAGAGGAACTGTATCCCAGAAAGAAAGGGGCTCAAGCTTCCCCAAACCTCAGGCCCAGACGAGGTCAGACCCTTGACAGACCAACATGCCAGAGCCTTCACTCCTGCTGTCTTCCTGGCCTGTTCCGTGGCCCTGGGGTGCCTGGCCTTCACGGGCAGGGGGCATGGGGACCTGATGGGATACCCAGCTCTGGCTGGCTCAGCATTGGTCCATCTGCAGATCAACAGAACCCAAACTCACTCCCCAGGAGGGCTGTGTCCTCTGCACCTGAGAATTCTCAGAAAATAAATTAATATGACCATGAGTCAATCTCTTCAATATATAAAGAGCTCTAACAAATCAATAATAAAAGTAAGGCCCTAGCTGGTTTGGCTGAGTGGATATAGCATTCGCCTGCAGACTGAATGGTCCTGGGTTCGATTTTGGTTAAGGGCACATGCTCAGATTATGGGCTCCATCCCCAGTAGGGGGCGTGCAGGAGGCTTCCAATCTATTCTTTCTCATCATTGATGTTTCTCTCTCTCTCTTCCTCTCTGAAACCAATAAAAATATATTTTAAAAAATAATAATAGTGCTGAAGCCGGTTTGGCTCAGTGGTAGAGCGTCAGTCTGCGGACTGAAAGGTCCCGGGTTCGATTCCGGCCAAGGGCATGTACATTGGTTACGGGCACATCCCCGGTAGGGGGTGTGCAAGAGGCAGCTGTCGATGTTTCTCTCTCATCAACGTTTCTAGCTCTCTATCTCTCTCCCTTCCTCTCTGTAAAAAATCAATAAAATATATTTTAAAATAATAATAATAGTAAGTGTTTAGTAAAGGGAGCTATTGTTACCATTACTAGAGACCTGATCCAAAAAAAAAAATACATGCACAGCGGGGAGGGGGGTCCCCTCAGCCCAGCCTGCATCCTCTCTAATCCAGGACCTCTTGGGGGTGTCTGACTGCCAGTTTAGGCCTGATCCTGGCAGTCAGACATCCCTCTCACAATCCTGGACCACTGGCTCCTAATCGCTCACCTGCCTTTCTGCCTGCCTGCCTGGTCACCCCCAACTGCCCCCCCACCAGCCAAGTCATCCCTCACTGCCCCCCACACCAGCCTAATCACCCCCAACTCCCCCCACACACACCTGCCTGGTCTTCTCTTTCTGCCCCACTGCTGACCTGGTCACCCATAATTGCCCACGCCTGCTGGTGCGGTCACCCCCAACTGTCACCCCTGTGGACCTCGTTTCCCCCAACTGCTCTCCTCCCCCCCTCACCCCCCCGGTTTGGTTGCCTCATACAGCCTGCTGTTCGGTCATTTGGTCATCTCTCACTAACCCCCCCTCCCCACCGGCCTACTCGGCCCATGCAGCCTGCTTGTTTAGTTGTTTGATAGTCCCTCACTAACCCCCTGTCAGCTTGGTTGTAGGCAGCCATCTTGTGAGGGCGTGAGGTTAATTTGCATACCACATCATCTTTATTATATAGGATTATTGTTGTTATCATTGTCACTGTTGTTGTTGTGTCTGCTCTGACTGGGAAAGCCACCCAAATCCTCCATGGGAAGAACAGTCAAGGACGATAGTCCAAGAGTCCTGGGCTCACAACCCTCTTCCATGCAGCCCCAGACAAAACAGACTCCCCTCTCTGCACCTCGGGTTGGAAAACGGAAATATTGACCCTCTTCCAGCCCATTTTGCAGGGCTTCTGAGAGCTTGGTGAGGTGGGACCATGAAGGACAGTTGTCTGTTTCACAACTGCTTATCACATGGGAAGGAAACGGGCCTGGCTGTGGGTAAAACTGGCCTCTGGCAGGAGCAATAGGAGCTGTCCTGAGGCTGCAACCCTGGCCTCTCACTCCCTCTCTGTAGGACCCTGGCCAAGGCACTTAACCCCTCTGTGCCTCAGTTTCCCCATCTGTAGCATGGGGATAGAAATACTACTGACATCCTCGGGTCACTCCAGGACTAAATGAGGTTCCACACACCTGCAGCTTCAGTGATGCTTATACCAACCCCCTCAGGGGTGTGTGACTGGGGGAACTGACCAAGGCCTGGGGAAGATGCTGGGTAAACTGAAGCCCATACAGAGGCCCCACCAGCACAGCAAGGGACTGGTGGAGCCAGGGTTTGCCTGGGCAGGCAGCCCCCTGCTTCCCCCACTGCTGTTTCCTCCTGTGCAATTACGATCAACAACCCCAAGGCAGTCAAATCATCAGTTTCCCAATATCACCAGCTCAGATCTGAGCGTTGCTGGTGGGGGCTGAAGGGGCCTCCAACCACAGACCACAGCTGAGTTCACCCTTTCCAGGCCGTTGGGTGAGAGTAGGTGCCTTGGTCCTCAAAGCTCTTAGGGAGACTTCAGCCCTGAGAAGTCTGGGGCCATGGGGCCTGGGGCGGAGGACTGGGACCGACTTTTGCTGACGGTGGCCACTGCTCTGATGCTGTCCATGAGGCTTCCAGGTGAGGATCCCCAGGAGTCTCCATATAGAGGTCCCCCCAGGAACTCCCCAGGTGCCCTAAGGCCCCCTCCCAGACCTCCCCCAGGAAATGCTGAGGTACCCCACACACGGGCCCTGACTTGGTGTAGCCACACAACCCCTGGCTGGTCTCCCTCCAGGGCCTCCAGGGGAGTGGGGTGGGAAGCCCAGCTGGGATCTTGACCAGGTGCAGGTGCAGGTGCAGGTTTTCTGGGGTCCAGTTCTCCTCCTGGCACATGCAAGGGCCTTCTCTGGGCTCCTCATCACTCACTGTGTCCTGCGTCTCTTTCTCCCTCCGTCTCTGTCTATCTCTGACTCTTTCTCCCTTAACTTGACCCCCATCCCATCCAGCGCCTAAGCTGTCCCCATTAACCCATCTTCTGCCCTTCCCAACATACCCCTCCTCCCCTCTGCAGGCTCCTGGGGGGCTAGGATCATTGGGGGCCGAGAGGTGGCCCCACACTCCCGTCCCTACATGGCATCGGTGAAGTTCGAGGGCCAGCATCACTGCGGCGGCTTCCTGCTCCGTGCCCGCTGGGTGGTCACAGCTGCCCACTGCCTCAGCGACAGGTGAGCTCTCCTGGGGGCCCCCCTCCTGCCTCCTGCCCCTTGGGGCCCCAGGATGCTCTGGCTGTATTTCAGGGGTGGGAGTGGTGAGGGGTGTTCCTGGTGTGGGCATCGCTGCATTCCAGTGGGGGCGGGTTGGGATGGCCAGATCCCACCCCTGCCCTGAAGGAGGAGGCATCTCTGGGGCCAGCTTTCTGGGACAACAAAGGGGAAAGGGTGGGGCCACCCCCACCTTGTCAAGGAACCTCCACCACAATTAGTGGATGTTGTCATCGCTGTGCTTGGTTTATAATAATCAATAACATTAACATTGAAAATTATTGAAAAAAGAAAATTTCCTCCAGATCCTTCCAATGGTCTAATAATTAAATCTACACGAGACAGACTAACAAGGGAAAATAACCAAATTTAATACATGCATACATGTGGATGACCCACGTACAGAGGGAGTCAGAGAGCCCACATCCATGAGAGGTTCGGGAACAGAAAGGACAGATGAGGTACACATGTCACCTGAGCTAGGGATGAGGCATCAGAGGGAGGGAGGGTCATCCTCAAGACCTTCATAAAATGTTTGTTGGTGGTTAAGTCTCATTATGGGCCAGGCCCCAATTTAGATTCATGTAGGTGGTTAAGCAAGAGTTCTTGTGAGCCCAGAGGGTATGGATGGCCTTTAGCTCAAAATAATCCACATGCCAGCCTGGCCAGTGTGGCTCAATGGTTGAGCTTTGACCTATGAACCAGGAGGTCACGGCTGGATCCCCAGTCAGGCACATGTCTGGGTTGCAGGATAGATATCCAGTAAGGGGACATGCAGGAGGCAGTCAACCAATGATTCTCTCTCATCATTGATGTTTCTCTCCCTCTCCCTTCCTCTTTGAAATCAATTAAAAAAAAAAAAATCCAAACGCCAAAGGGGCACATCTTAGGGAGGCATGTTCTGAACCCCTTCAGAGATAATGTTATAATTGAGGTGGGGATTATAATAAATATAAACATATCCAATCCATCCTAAATATAGCTTGGTTATTAGAATTAGCATTTTGATGATTAGCACTAATACTGTAACTTAGGTGGGAATGAAACAAACATCATGATTATCAAGGTTAAATGGATCATTGTGCACCGGCTTTGCCAATGGGGCTACCAAAGCCTGTGACAGGCAGCCTTCCCCTTCCCCGCCCCAGCTCACTCACTGTGCCCCTCCCCGCCGCAGAGACCCACGGACCCTCCTGGTGGTGCTGGGGGCACACAACATCCGCACCTCAGAGCCCACCCAGCAGGTGTTCAGCATCTCAGCTGTCACCAGGCACCCCGACTACCAGCCCACAACCCACGCCAACGACATCTGCCTGCTGAAGGTGAGCTTCGTGGGGAGGAACGCTGCGTGTAAGTCTGGCCTGTCCCAGCTACTCCCGCGGTGGCTGAGCCTGTTTTAAAACAGCTGAAGGATCCTGGAACACCTGAGTCAGGTTAAGTCTTTGCTCAAATGCCTCCTTCTCGGGAGACCTTCTTGGACGACCTCCTCATCCTACAACCTGTCCCTGTCCTGCTGTTCCTTCTCCCTGCTCCACTTTTCTTATGTCCAGCACAACTGTCACCTGCTAGCAGCACCTGCACATTTGCTACCTCACCATTGTTCACTGCCTCCTCGGGACCCGAGGACAGGAATGTTTACCTCGTGTATGACCAAGTATGCACACAGCAGGTGCTCAATGTTCAGGCTGGTAGGGGGAACAGATAAGGGCCATGAAAGACCTCAATCCCCTCCACTTGGCCCTTCTTGGGGTTTTCTGGCCAGGAAGTGGCTTCACCCATCAATGGGAGTTTCCCTCTGCTTCCCCATGAGGCGTGCCCTTTCAAACCACCCCCCTGCAGTTCCCACCGAGGCACCCCAAATCCAACTCTCGGAACCCCCAGGGCCTCTGTTTCAAAGGGAGGATGTCCCAAACTTGCCCTCCAAATGTGTTGAAAAATTAAAAAGGGAGAGATACTCCATATGACTGAATGGGTCCCTGGGAACAGGAAGGTTTGGGGTGTGGGGTGTTGGCAAATAGAAAGGCGGCAGTGGATGTCAGCAGCCAAAGCCTGGATTTTACTCACCTGTGGGATCCCAGAGCTTGGAACCCACTGCTCTGACTCACCCATCTTATTGTGCAGATGGGGAAACTGAGGTTGGGCGTGGTTAGGAATGTGCCCAAGGTCAGGGTGTGTGTACCAAAATGAGGGGCCTGAGTCATTCATTCAAAAACTGTTGATTGAGTGCCAACTATGTGCCAGTTAGCAGAGACACAGCCAGGAACAAGCCATGAGGCTGACCCCTTAAAGCCTTCAGTCTAAGCAGGTGGCAGCTGGGTAAACTGGCCTTGGCAAGGGGGCACCTGCCCTACCCTGGGCATCTTGGAAACTTCCTGGAGAAGGTGGTGTCTAAGCTGAGATCTGAAAGTTGGATAGGAAAGATTCTCCAGGTGGGGGGTACAGTATGAGCCAAAGTGTGGGAGTGGGCCCAGGACATGGCAGTAAATTCATTCTTGCTAGAAGGGAGGACTTGGTGGGGGGTAAGAGTTTTATTCCAAGGGCAATGGGAGGGCTTAGAGCAGGGAAGGAGATGCTGTTTAGAAAGACCATTTGGGCTGAGCAGGTAAGGGCTGATGGACAGGGGGCATGCGGTGGCAAAAGCAGTGGCCTTCTGACAGCCATTGCTTTCTCTCCATAAGGCCAAGAGACCAGGTGTCACAGACGGGTAAACGGAGGCAGGAGCAGTGGTGACGGTTTGGGTGGTCCAAAACTCTGTGTTCTCCCCGTAGCTGAACAGCTCCGCCATTTTGGGTCCTGCGGTGGGGCTGCTGAGGCTGCCACAAAGGGGCGCCAGGCCGCCCAGGGCCGAGACGAGGTGCCACGTGGCCGGCTGGGGCTCTGTGTCCAACTTTGAGGAACCGCCCCCCGGGCTGATGGAGGCCGAGGTTCGCGTGCTGGGCCTGGACGTCTGCAACAGCTCCTGGAAGGGCCAGCTCAGCCCGGCCATGGTCTGCACCCACAGTGGGGACCATCGGCGGCGAGGCTTCTGCTCGGTAAGATATTCGTCGTCCATCCCTCCCCCTTACCATATGGGGAAACCAAGGCCCTCGGAGAAGGTCAGAGCTGGGCAGAGCCTTGGGAACCAAGTCCAGCTTACCCTACACCAAACCATGTATGGCTGTGCCGTGCACAAAGAGCTACAGATTTGTGTGTTTATAAACAGGATCCAGCACAGGCAGTCACAGATCCTGCTCCTCATACCCCTGCTCCTCTGGCCCTGGTCAGAGGAAGAAACTCAGCCTGGAGGCTGTTTTGTTTTAGGCAAGAGAGCTCAGTGGTTCAGAACACAGGTTCTGGAGCCCAACTGCCTGGGCCCCAGTCCAGACTGTGCCCCTTTCCAGGCCTTGGAAAAGTCGCCCCGCTTCTCTGGACCTCACTCCACCTTCTCCATCTGTAGAACTGTCACCTCCTAGGAGCAGAGCTCATTCCAGATGACCATTAGGGTGCCAGGACGAGGAGGGGAGGGGAAGGGAGAAAGCAGGAGTTTCAGGGTGAGTATTCAGGAAGGTTTCTCTGAGGAGAGCACCTTTGAGCTGAGACTTGAAGGAGCCTTAAGATCTGAGGGAAGGCAAGACAGGCAGAGAGACAGTCCCCCGGCTGCCATGCACAGCTGTTCAGGTCTTCGCTGCACTGCATAGCTGCAGACTTCTGGGTTTATACAAGCAGTGTCCAGTAGGGGGCAGTAACAGATCTCAAAGACACGCAAAAGCTTAGAGGCTGATGAAGTTTGGCTTGCTCCAGGAAGGCTGGTGTGGCTGGAACCCGATAAGGGAGAGAGATGTGGGAGATGTGGGCAGAGATGTAGACCTTCAGGGTCTTGAGGGCTGAGGTGAGGGTTTAGTCTTTGCTGTAAGAGCACGAGGGGGTCATGGAAGGATTTTGAGGGCAGGAAAGGGTCCCGGTGGGCGTTACATGTAGAAGCTCCTTTCAGGCAAAGTGAGGCTGAGAGAAGATCCCCTGACCTCGCCTTTCCTTTCATCCCAGGCGGACTCCGGGGGGCCCCTGGTGTGCAGGAACCTGGCCCATGGCCTTGTTTCCTTCTCCGGCCTCTGGTGTGGCGACCCCAAGACCCCAGATGTGTACACACAGGTGTCTGCTTTCGTGACCTGGATCTGGAGTGTGGTTCAGCATCGACCCCACAGCCCCCAACTCAGCTCCTCACCCAGGACCGCTGGGGCCCCCACAGGAGCTTCCTGAACCGCAGCAGCACTGTGTATGCAAATGAGATGACAACCAATGCAAACAGCTTTGGCCTGGAAGAGTCTGTGACTGGGGCAGGGGGTCCACAGAACCTTCCAGGGAGCTTGGGGTGGGGGGAGGGGCATAAATTCCAAACAACAAGGGCCAAAATAACTGAATAAAATGTTAACTGACAGCCAGACATGATGGTCTACCCACATCCCTTGAGTTGCTTCTTGGCCTCAAGGTGGCTGAGGGTCCAGACAAGCCACTTCCTCCCTGAGCCACTTGCTCGGCCTCCTTTCTCTTCCAGCCACGCCCACCACCTCTCTACCTGTCTCAGCGCTCTCTCTGGGGGCTGCCCACTGTCCAGAGATAGACACTGAGGCCACGATGGACAGTGGCTGCCTCAAGGACATAGGCTCATGATGCTTCCAGATGCTTCTAGAGCCCCCATTTACGACCCTAATACTAACCCAGGCTCCAGACTGGTAACCCTCTACTAAAGTAGGCAGCACAGAGGCTCAGAGAGAGAGGAGCAGACCAGGAATTGACCACAAGGTGGCTTTTTACAATCTTTATTTCTTTGGTGAGGCAGGACCCCAGGGTGGGGAAGATTGCCTTATTGGGTGGCTTGGGCAAATTCACTTACTCAAGGACACTTTTCTGGGTGACATAGGTAAGGCACTTCCTGGGGGCTGGGAGAGGGTGGGCACACTGCCCCCTGAGCTCCTTGCCCCAAATTTGAGGAGCTGAATTCCCATATCTGGTCTGATCCTCTGGTCTACACATAGGCACAAGGAGGTGGCATGGGATGACAGCCCAGGAATGCAGGGAATTGGCCCGAGGCTGGTATCGGCTGGGGTGAGAACCCTGAGCCTAGCTGGTGGGCAAAGAGGGTTCACCTAGGAATGGGGCCTAGAGACCCAAGAGTGGGCCTCATGATACCAGGGGGTCCCTCAACTGTGGACGGGTCAGCAGGCACTAGGGGTGCTGTGCAGACACCTAGCTCCAAGAGGTGTCTACATTCCTTAGGGTGAGTAGGAGTTCATGGGCCCTAGGGGATCTCACCAGAAGTGAACTGGGCCCTGAACTGAGCTAATGCTGCGCGGAGGCTTGTGTCAGGAGGCACAGACAGTGCCTCCCCCATCAGGGGGTAAGCTGGCTTTCCTCAGGGGCCTTTACAGGACCTACTGGGTACGTGGAGGCAGTGGGGAAGGAAAACCCTGACTACTTGGGTCGGTAGTGGACAGACTGCTTCCTTGGCCTGTCCGGGGTTCTGAGCATGTTCTGAGGGTTCATGTATATGCACCCAGGTTGTGGACCCCTCCTCACCCCTTGGTTCCTGTTCTAGAAGGCTAGGGTGCCTTTTCATTCATTGCTGGCAAAGAACTCCCAGCCCTCTCAGCGGCAGTGATAATTAATAGTTATTCCCGAGGGAACAGAAGCAAGGGCTTCTGCAATAGGGTGTTTAGGGTGGAGGGCTCACCTATCAGCACTGCTCCCAGGCCTCCTCCCCCCAATTCTTCCAAGATATGGTTGTGGGGAAGGGTCCAGGGCTCCCGCAAGGGGTCCGGTCCTGGCTCTGGGGAGTGTCCATGGGACATAAATTAGGCTTTGCTCTGGCAATAAATAAAATGGGGGAGGCCTTGAACGCCAGGCCCAGGCCACCCTGTTAAGTCACACGAAGTTCTCCTCCTCTTCCTCCGACTCAACCTCTGCTGGCTCAGGGGTGCCTGCTGAGTGGGAGGGACGAACAGAGAAATGGGGGTCTGGAGAGGGGCTGGGGCCCACAGTCCACCACGGCTCCCCGCTCTGCCCCGCCCCAGCGCAGCTGCCGGGGTGTCGCACGCCGATGGACCGGCCTAGGAAGCAGGTGGCCTGGCGGAGGTGGCACGAAGACATGTAGGTGACGTTGTTGTTGCCGCAGAGCTCCTGGCCAGGACTGGAGGGCGCGGGACAGGGCGCAGCGCGACACATCACGCAGTGGGCGCTGCCTGTCTGGTCCACCACGCACGACTGCGGCCGCTGGCACACCACGTGTGCGCAGGACTCTGTGGACAGGGCGCCAGGGTGGGTCAGGGGCGCCACCTGGATGACGAACCCCCGCTCACCACACTGAGGGTACCCTCAGGCCCAGCCTCCTCTGTTGTGGCAGAAGCCACACCTCTTCAATGAAATCCATCCCACAGCCCAAGTCCACCCTCAAGCTCCGTCCCCTCTTATTGCACCCTCAAGCCCCTGAGTCAAGCACCCATACTTCGCACCCCACGTGAGCCCTGAACCCCTTTCCAAACTTCCACCCTACTCTTCCTTATTTTCGATCCCACAAGAGACCCAACCCATTCGGAGGGGGGCAATGGTAAGATATGTACACAGATAATAATTTAAAAAACAAAAACAAAAACAAAAAAACCTCCAGACTACAAAAAAAAAAAAAGAGAGACCCAACCCACTGATACTCTCAGCGGCATAAAGACACCCTTTATTAGGCTCCGCCCACGACCTCGCCACCTAGGCCCCGCCCACCACAAGCCCTGCCCCAACCCTCATACCTACACTCAGCGCTGGAGGCCCCGCCTTCCACCAGGCCCCGCCCCCACCGCGCCCCGGGCACTGAGGCTCCACCCCCTGCAGGCCCCGCCCCCACGTACTGCGGCAGCGGCCCCGGTACATGACGCGCAGGTCCGGGTGGCCGCGGCAGCGCGCGGCGCGCAGCTCGCACTCGTCGCGGTAGGTGGCGCCGTCGGAGCCGCAGACCTGCAGGCGCGCCGGGAGCTCTTCGCAGTCCGGGGTGCACTCGCAGCGCGGCCGGCCCCCCAGCATGCGGCAGGCCTTGCCGGGGCCGCACTCCACGCCCTCGCACGAATCTGCGGACACAGGACATGCGCCCGTGGGCTGGGGCTCGTGGCCGTGGCCAGAGGTCCTCTGAGTCCACGGCGCCTCGTCCCCTTTTCTGAGTGGGGGCCGGAGTGGGGGGGGCGTACGAAGTCGGGGCGCACGGCGGCGGCGAGGATACTGGTTTAGGGTCGGGGTCTTGGGGGGAGGTCTGTTGTGGGAGAGATTCAGCCACAGTCCGGGTGGACGCCTGGGGCTGGGGGCTGTGACTGGAGGCGGGGCTCAGTCTGGGCGGGAAGGGCGTCTCTGCCCCAATCTTGGGGTCCAGCCCGCTCTACTGACGTCTGTTCCCTGACTGGACTCGCCGGCGGGAGGCCCTGCTGCGTCAGTCCGGGGGTAGGATGGGGGGCTCCACCCCATCCAGACAGTGTCCTTTCCTCATGCCTGCCAGAACCTCCCCAGAGGAGGGGACAGGCGGGGCGGGGCGGGGCGTTGGCGCCTGGCGTGAGTCTCATTTCCTGGGGAATGAGACTCAGCCCGAGCCCTCTGAACTGGGAGTTATCCACCCCTCGCAGCCCCATTTCTCAGGTAGGGAAACAGGTCTGACCAGGGGAAGTCTGCCTCTTGGGTACCTGCCCCTACTCGGGCCCCGGGTCCTTCGGAAATGCAAATCAGACCCCACTAATGGCTGCTCCTGCCTCTCGGGCTCTCCCAGGCTCATTGCAGCCTCCCACCCACTGTACGAGGTCATGCTGCTTGGAAAACTGAGTCCCCTCTCTGCTGTGAGTGGAGAAAAGCCCCTCAGCATAACTCCAGGCCAGATCCTGGATGGACATTCCCGCCCTCCCAACTCAGTTCTGTTGCTGGTAGGTCTAGAGGGCAGACTCTGAGCAAAGTTTACATTCTGGCCTCAGTTTCCCTGTGTGTAGGGTGGGGCTGATGGGGGAACCCACCTTACAGGGTGAGCATAAAATGAGTGGATGCTACTAAGGGAATGGATTGTGCCCCCGCCTTGGTTACCCATGCCAGGGCATGTGGGCTGCACCTGGGCGCCGACCGCCCACATCCACATCTGGAAATGCTCTGCCTGTGTGGCTTCATACAAGAGGGAGAAGTGGGGGCTGAGTTCCTGTCCCCAAGGCCAGAAGGGGGGTGGGGTGGGGTCCTGGACCATCTCATGTCCAGGCCAGGCGTTTTTTGAAGTCTGTCCTCCTCCCAGAAGCCAAAGGGGTTCTAGAGTGAGCCAGGGTACATGGCGTTGACTTCAGGACCACCCAGCCAGGCTGATCTGGGATTAATCACATCTCAGAGCTCAGCCAGCCTCCTCAGCTTGGCCTTCAGGTCTGCAGCCCTCAGCTCCAGCCTCCTCCCTGCTCCCCAGCTCTGACCCCACCCACCAGGATCTCACCTCAGGCTATGATGTCTGCTGATGCTCTTCCCCCATACTTTCTACAGCTGACCAACTCCTAATCATCCTCCAATAACCTGTCTCTATTGCCCACCTCCTTCAAGTCATGTTCCTTCAGGGTCCCTGCAAGTTCAGCCCTGACCACAGGGGTGTGGGAAAGCCCTTGAAGAACTTGTCTGATGGAGGAGGCAGCATTTCTCAGAGCATGGTCCAGAAGGCACATCATTACTAAACATGCAACTGGGGTCCACCACAGTTCCCTGGAATCCGTGGGGTTAAGGGCAGATAAGGATAGTTGGGACACTGTGTGTGGGGGTCACAAACCAGGAAAATCTACTTTCCCAGGAGCTGGTTGTGAGTTGAGGATACTTCCACCCGGTGGGGTGCAGGGGGGAAAGGCCATCCTGGCAGAGGGCTTGGGATAAGTAAAGGCCTCGAGGATGGAAACCAAGCTGGGGAGTCCTCAGAGCTTCTTCCTGAATCCTCAACTGAGGGTCGTTGAGGATCCTCTCCACAACTGCTCCTCTCAGCTGCCTCAACTTCCTCCTGCATGCCCCTGAGACAGGAAGCTCGCTTCCAGCAGGTCCACCTTCCACCATAGTGACCCTGGACTGTGGCCAATGCCCGGGGTCTCACCTTTGCAGGGGAGGCAGTGGACAAGGCCCAAGAAGCCCAGGAGGCTGATCTTGTTCCCTGGGTGGGTGAAGTTGGACCAGGCGGTGTCAATGTTGCCGGAGGCACAGCACTCAGCCTGGCTCACGTCGGTCTTCAGCACCAGGCTGCAGGTGGCCTCTTTGCCCTGCTGGAGCCAGCAGACACCACCTGTGGACCAGGAGGGCAGTTCCTATGGGACCAGAGGTGCCCTCCTGTACCATTCCTGACACCCACGCCTGGACCTTCCACTCAGCTCCCTGCCCTGGGGATGCATGCAGTCGGTACTCAGTAATTACTACGAGGGTGACCTACTCCCAACCTGGGAAGGGGGAGCTCCAGATCCTTTTGGGATCCTTCTCTCTGAGCCTCATCCCCCAACTACTCCACCACCAACCTCTAGCCAACCCCAAGCATCCTGGAAGCTCTCTTCTATCCACGCACTTCCTTAATTGCCTCCTCACCCACCCAGGCCTCGCATCTTGCCCAAACACCCAGAGCTGGATGTGTCAGGGTCAGTAGGCTCTGGAGCTGCCTGCCCTTTGTCTAAACAGCACCCGAGGGCATGCAGAACCCCTTCTCCTTGCAGCACTGCACACACACCGCCCCCCCCCCCCATAGCCTGGACTGCCTCTTACTCACTCCAAGTTGGGAACATTCCCTTTGCATGAGCTCACTGTCTCCCTGGGGACATGGCCTTCGGGGAGGGGGCTCCACTCTCCCTCCCTTCCCTCCGTGCAGGGCTGGGTGGAGCTGCTGGGTATGGGGGGCGGGGGGGTTAGGTACATAGCCTCAGTTTCTTCACCCTTAAATGGGGGTAGGACTAGCCATGGCCCCCATCCCAGAGAGCTCACTAGTTCCCAGGTGCTGTACTAAATGCCTCCCAGGGACCAACTCTGGGAAGTCAGCACCTGGTACTCATAAAAAGGGAAACTGAGTCCAAGAGTGGGGATGTTCCTTGCCTGGCATCTCCCAATGAGTGGCAGGTAGGACGCTCTAAGGACCCGTCTGCCTAAGCCAGACCCAGGGAAAACCTGAAGCCCCTGCTGGAGGTCCTGTGTCCGGCCACCCAGCCCTGCTTCTCTGAGGTGTCAGGACCCAGACAGTACGGGCTCCAATTCTGGCTCTGCCACTTACAAGCTGTGTGATCCCAAACCTCCGTTTCCCTGTCTGGAAAACGGTCACGATGAGTTCCCACACCACCAGACTGCTATATGGATTCAGGGAGATAAGAGACTGACACTAAGCGCTCAATAAATGTCAGTCCTTGTGACTGCTATTGGTCATAATTGTGACAGAGTCACATCTGTTCTGCTGACCTCCTGATTACCCTCTTCCAGGCCCTTTGGGGCTGGGGGAGGGGGAGCCCCAAGCCCTCCGGGATCCAATCTGCAGCGGCCTCTGGTCATCGCCCTCCACCTCCCAGTTGCCACAGCTGCATCGACCCCCAACATTCCCCCCATTCCCCCCGTCCGCATTCCGGGCAGGCCCACGTGGGTGGTCCACCCCACCCGCCTCTTCCGGCCACCCCACTCACCGGGCGAGGGGTCCCCCGAGCCCACGGAGCCCACGAAGCCCACGGCCCAAGCCAGGGCCCCCCAGGGCAGTGGCCACAGTGGCCCGGGCGCCCTGGGACGCATGGCGAATGCAGAGACGGCAGCGGCGGCGGCAGCGGCCCCCGCGTCGGACCAGGACGCGCAGGCGGGCAGCAGGGAGGGCGGCGGCACCGACTTCCCAGTGCTCCGGGCCCGGCGCTCCCTATAAAGGTCCCGCGGGCGGGGCCGGGCCGGGGCGGGGCGCGTGCATGGCGGGGCACGAGGCAGAGCCGTGCGCGATGTGTGCAGGGGCTGGGCCTGGCCACCGGGGTGGCGGCGGGTGGGTGGTGGCCCCGACCTGAGACCTTAGTATGGCTGCAGCGAAGTCTAGGGGGCCAAATGGTGATCGAGCTGTGAGTTCGAGGTGTCACCGTGAGTTTGGGGCTCTTCCTCTGAAGGGCTGTGGCTGAGCTGACTGGTTACTCATGGGGAGTATGTACCACCTCCTGGGTTGCATGCGGTCACTGGTATGGCTCACATGTGATCCTCTGGTCCCTATTCGACCTCATCCCACACTGGGGGACCTCAGCCCCAGACTGCCTGCTCACACCCCAGGCCACCCTCTACCTAGCTACCTGGCTGCTCTAGCCAGCGGTCACAGCTGGGGGTGAGCAAGTGTTTTGGGGAGGAGAGGAGCTGGGGGCTGCAGGGAGAGACCAGGGACAGAAATGGCCCCAACATCACTGACTGCAATAAGCACAGCATCAGACTTCCAAAGTGCCTACTATGCACCTATTCTTTGCCCCTCACACCCTGGGAGACGTGCACCCCTCCCAGACCTCTGCGGAAAGTGTGCCAGAACCGCACCCACAGTAACTTACTGTTTTGGGGGAATTCCCTCCTCTCTGCTCAGGTTCTGTGCCCTGGAATCTTGGGTGTCCTGCAGTTTATGATGACATCCGTGTGGACCTGGGAAGTGAGTCCACGGGGGCCTTGGTGCAGTCAGACACTCTTCCCTTCTACTGTGGGGGCCTCCCAAATTGTTCAGGGCACCTCAAAGTGCTCATGAGTTCTGTGCAGCTCCTCTATGCTTGTGCTTCTAAGAAATAATGAGCCAAAACCGGTTTGGCTCAGTGGATAGAGTGTCGATCTGCGGACTGAAAGGTCCTAGGTTTAATTCCGGTCAAGGGCATGTACATTGGTTGTGGGCACATCTCCAATAGGGGGTGGGCAAGAGGCAGCTGATCAATGTTTCTAACTCTCCCTCTCCCTCTCTATAAAAAATCAATAATATATATATATATTTTTAAAAGAATTTCTACCATCAGGTGCCAAGTCCAGACCTTTTCCTCCACCTTAGCAGCTAGCCTGACCCATATCCTCTAGCCAGTGGCCAAGGGCTATGTTACTGCCCAGAGGACTGAGGGAAGATGCCCAGCTGTCTTGACCTGGCCTTGGCCTCTAACAGTCTGAGGAGATTCTCTTTTGGTTGGGGAATGGAGCAGGGATAAAACTCTGTGTTCTCACCAAGGATGTGTGGGGGCTGGACAGTGCGACCTTGACCGAGACCTGATCTCAGACACCCTGGCCTGGCCTGTGCAAATCAAAAGGTCGTTGTCAGCCTGGTGTGGATTCCAAACAGAGGCCAGCTGCCAGTGGCCTCCTGCTCCCTAGCCTGGCGTGTCTCCCCACCCCAGAGGCCACGTGCTGGGTGACCTCAAGCAAGTCACTGGCCCTCTCTGGGGAGCCTCTACCTTCCCTTTTAAGTCTTTTCCTCTCTACCCTGACCCAGCCTCAGCCTTACCTGCTACTCCCAGCTCAAACACCCACCATGACTCCCCATAGTCCCTGCTTTCCATTCCAGGCTTCTCTCTACCCCGACCCCACAGGTAAATTGGCAGTAACAACTGATTGTGATCAGAGTTGTGATGAACACCCCAAAGCCTTACTTGACCCAGCCTGGGAGAGACCAAGAAAAACTTTTCAGAGGAGCAGGACATTTAAATTGAGACTTGGGAGTTGGATTGAACCATGTGTAAGAGGGGGGTGGGAACAAATGCATAGTACGATAAGTAAGAGAAAGTCCAACTCAACCAGAGACACTAGATCCTAATCCCTGGACCTTCGATAGCAAAGACACTTTGCATTTTAAGGACCTTCGGATGGGAGATAATCCTGGGTTTCCTGGTGAGCCCAGTATCATCACAGGATCCTTAAAAGCTGAGACAAAAAAAAAAAAAAAAAAAAAAAAAAAAAGTGAACACCTTTCCCACGGTGTCCAGAGAGATGATACATAAGAAGGACATGACCCCATTTACACTTGAATGGCTACACCTTTTGATAGCCTAAGGGCAAGTTTACATGTAAACAAGATTGCTCTCAATTCCCAGGGCAGAAAAAAAAAAAACAAGGTTTAAAAATATATTTTATTGATCTTTTTACAGAGAGAAAGGGAGAGAGACAGAGAGCTAGAAACTTCGATGAGAGAGTAACATCAACCAGCTGCCTCTTTGCACACCCCCTACCAGGGATGTGCCCGCAACCAATGCACATGCCCTTGACCGGAATCAAACCCGGGCAGTCCGCAGACCGACGCTCTACCACTGAGCCAAACCGGTTTCGGCAAAAAAACAAGGTTTAAAATTATTAGATTTTAAAATTTATTCTTAGAAGTGTAAAAGTTTATTAATTAAAAAAACAAAACATAAACAACAACAAAAGGAGATTGAAAAACCTGATGAACAATAATAGCGGTTCATTGTAGTAGAGTAGGTGATATGGGAGGGGAATGGACTGACTGTTCTCAGGGGAAAGGGAGGGAGGAAGAGACTGAACATAAACTGTGTGCACCTATGGATGAGGACAATGGGGGTGGGGAGGGGGCGGAGGGTGGGGTGGGAACCTGGTGGAAGGGGGAAGAAATGAAGAACCTTTGTAATAATATGAACAATAAAGATTGATTAAAAAAAAAAAAGAAGAAGGACATGACCTGCCATTGCTGGCTGTGAGGATGGAGGAAGAGGCCAAGAGCCAAGGAATGTGGGCAAGTTCTAGAAGCTATAAAAGATTGGAAACAGATTCTTCCCTGGAGCCTCTGGGAAGGAATGCAACTCTGCTGATACCTTGATTTTAGCTCTGCAAAAATTATGTTGAACTTCTGACCTCCATAACTGGAAGAGAAAGACTTGTGGTTTTTTTATGCCACCAAGTAAGTGGTGGTGACTTGTTACAGCAGCAATAGGCCAATACAGATAGACTTTTGGGTTCAGTGTGTTGACACGACGATACAGTCCCTGCCAGGCTGGAAACAAACAAGGTGTGAAGATAGGTGGCAGTATGGAGACTCTGGGAACAGGAAGGTTGTGGGGTCTCTGAAGAGGTGACCCTGAGGCCTAGGGGTGTCTGTAGAAGCCCAGTCCAGACTGTGCCAACGTGGCCAGGCCCACAACCTTTTGGTATACGGAACAATGCTCCAATCAACTGAGCCACCCGGCCAGGGCCTGTACTCGTAGTTTTAGAACATGGAAACCATGTGTTCTTGCTCCCACTGCATGGGTCTGGCACCTAGCGGGTACTCATTAATGTTTAGTTGCTCAAGACTGTTGACCTGGTACTGTATGTTGGGTGTTGGCCTCACATACTGGGAGATACCATTGCTAACTCCTGGCTTAGGAGATGGCTGTGATGGAAGAGATCGGGTGCTGAGCAGCAGGATGGGGGATGGGGCTCCCCCATGAAGGGGTGGAGGCAATCTCCTGAGAAGCAGAAAAAGAGAAGGAACAGTGGAAAGGGCACTCCCAGCAGAGGGCATGCCCAGGCAAAGGCTCTGAGGTGAGATCCAGCTGGGCCATCCCAAGCGGGCCAATGAGGCTGAGCTGCAGAGGGGATGGGTGAGGGGCAGATGACCTCAGGGCAAGCAGCAGGGCGCACTGAAGACCAAGGAGATGCTATGGTTATCTATGTGTGTCCCAAGTCTCATCCAAGCTTTGGGAGGCAGTTTTTGCCTCCTGCCCAGAGAGGTCAAGCAACTTGCCCAGAGTCACACAGTCAGTGTGGTTTGTGATATTTGAACATGAGCCTACTAGCTCCAAGGTCTTTTGGGTAGTACTTCATACACTTCTGCAGAATTAAAGAATGAATGTTGGCAGTGTGACGGGAGCCAGTAGCTGGGCATGAGAGGTCTTAGGCAAAGGATCTACTCCTCCCTGGATCTGAAGTTCCTGGATTCCCAGCGATGGGGCCAGTGCACACTCTGGTGGTCAAAACAGGAATCATCCCGAGCCTTGAGTGAGACTAGACACTGGCAGACAACTCTCCTTAGCCTCTTGACATTCAAGACTCTCTCTCTCTCTCTCTCTCTCTCTCTCTCTCTATATATATATATATATATATATATATATATATAAAATTGATTTTTTACAGAGAGGAAGGGAGAGAGATAGAAAGCAAGAAACGTCGATGAGAGAGAAACATCGACCAGCCGCCTCCTGCACACCCCCTACCAGGGATGTGCCCGCAACCAATGAACATGCCCTTGACCGGAATCGAACCTGGGACCTTTCAGTCTGCAGACCGACACTCTACCACTGAGCCAAACCGGTTTCGGCCATTCAAGACTTTTTACACAGAGGCAGCACTTTTTATTTCCTCAACACCCTGGTTAATGCCCTCTCCCCTAGGAAGCTCTGACTGTCTCCCCAGGAAGAGCCAGGGCCACTGTAGGGTTCCATCCTCTGGCTCAACCTCAAGCAGCTAGAGGTGTCTGAGCCTATCTGTGCTTGCTCCAGCCAGAGAGTACCCTTTTCACTGTCATTTCCCATGCGGTGTCCTTGCAGCCAGGTGCTCAATGGATATCTGCTGAGTAGAGAAAGAAATGCTAGTAAATGCATGATTGAGCCAGGACCTTCTTTGATCCAGGAATGGGTCTCTTGTCTGTATTCATTCAACAATTGTTTAGGGAATGTCCGTGTGCCAGGCATTGTTGAGTCTAGCCGGAAACAAAATACAAACATCCCATCAGCTGTGGAGCTGACCCAACAGTTTACTAAATGAAAATAAGTGCTAGTGCTGAAACCGGTTTGGCTCAGTGGATAGAGCGTCGGTCTGCGGACTGAAAGGTCCCAGGTTTGATTCCGGTCAAGGACATGTATTATACCTTGGTTGTGGGCACATCCCGGGTGGGGGGTGTGCAGGAGGCAGCTGATCGATGTTTCTCTCTCATGGATGTTTCTAACTATCTCTCTCCCTTCCTCTCTGTAAAAATAAATAAATAAATAAATAAATAAATAAATAAATAAATAAATAAATAAATAATAAGTGCTAGTGAGGAGGGCATCTCAATTGATTAGACATTTTGAAAGAAATGGAAGACATGAGGAAGAATGCCCCTGTGTCTAGGAGAACTGTGCGCCCAAGAGAAGCACAGCCAGTGCAAAGGCCCAGAGGTGAGAGCGCGCCTGTCGCGTTCCAGGAGCAATAAAGACGGTGAGGGCAGATACTGGGACTTGAGGTCGGAGGAACAAGGAGGGGAAGTGAGGGGCCTTTGCAGGGTAAAAGAAGCTCGACCTCGCCCCATTCAGGCCCCGCCCCTCTGTCCAAAGCCCAGCTCCAGCAGCGCCTGCACCTACTTTGGCCCTCGACGGCCACCGTCGACCGGGCCACCGCCCGCTGTGCGCGCCGCCAGCCCGGCTCCCGCGCTCCCCACTCCGCCCCGTGCGCCGTGCGTGCCGTGCGTGAGCGTGCGCGGGCCCGTCGGCCGGCGAGAGAGCAGCAAACGGCCGGCGGCGAACGCCGCGCGGTGGGCGGGCGGCGCGGAGGAGGCGGCGGCGGCCATGGCTGAGGCGTCGCCGCAGCCCGGACGGTACTTCTGCCACTGCTGCTCGGTCGAGATCGTACCGCGTCTGCCGGTGAGCTCCGAGCCGGGCGTGGGGCGGCGGGCTCGCTCCTGCGTCCTGCGGCGAGCTGGCCCTGACGAGGAAACTGAGCCCCGGCGGCGGCGGCATGGGCCCTGCGGGGGTTTCCGAGGCGGGGCCTGTCTCCGGTGGCGCAGCGGGGGCCGGTGATCCCGGTCCGCGGCCTCCCGCCCCGTGAGGGTCGCTGGGTCCCCGGCGGGGAAACGGAGGTTCGCGGAGGCCGCGTGACCTGCTCCGGCGCGCCGCCTGGGAGGAAGCGGGGCCGTGGAGGAAAGGTGACCGGGGGCCGTTCCCGGCGCTGCGCCTCGCTGCGGGCCGCCCGGGGGGAGGCCCCCCACCACCTGCGTCCGTCGCGGGGACGTGGGGCTGTGGCCCTGCGCCGGTCTGACAGCTGACCCGAGCCCGCGTTCTTGCGCTTCCGTGGGGCTTGAGCCCACCCAACATCTTGCTCTTTGAGGCCAGTGTTTCCCAAGATGGCCTGACCGCGCCGAGTGGTATAAGGAGGGGGCTTCTCGGTAAAGGCAGTGCTCCAGGCCCCTCATCCCGGAGATTCCGAGTCAGTAGGTCTGGGGTGGGACCAGTGTTCCTCTGCTCTTGGCTGACCCGGTCCCATTTCACAGGTGGAAAAACCGGGCCTCGGCGGCTCACGCCGGCCGCGGCCCTGACTGACGCTCGCTGCCGGGCCAGCTCACCGGGAGCAGGTGTGGGGTCTGGAAGTGGCCAGGATTCACCTTGTACTTCATCTCCTCACAGCCACCTGGCTGGTGGGTGGAGGAGCCTGTTTTGATTTCAGAGCAGCACTCAGTCCTTCCTTTCCAGCTCCAGGGTTCCCTGGGAAGAGGGGTTGCTGCTGGGAGAGGGCCAGGAAGAGCCAGGAAAAGGAGTCTGTTTAAATGATCCTAGAGCTGGGGTTTGGAGAGCGGTGCCTAGGGTCCAGGAGGAGAGAAACTGTAGGAGTGCTGTGGCTTCCAGAAGCAAGGGACTTCCTGCCCTTCCTAGGGAAAGGGGAGAATAAAATGAAACCGGAACCGGGGTGGGGGAGCACACACTTGGGGAGCTGAACCCCGGTCTTGCTTATGTCTCTCTGGCTTCCTGAGCCCCAGCTCTTGGTTCTTTCTTTCTCCACGGTGGCAGGAAGGGGCTGGTCGCCCGACAGCCCACCGGCCACGGGCCTGGATTAGTTGGATGCAGCCCCTCACAGTTGGTGTGAGCCCCAGGGTAGGCCCTGGCTGGAGGCTGAGGCCGAGGCTGCAGCTGGGCATCTGCACAGTTAGCTGTCCTAGGTTTTCCCGTTCTGGGGCCAGCACAGGGCCTGGGTCCTGGCCTGGTGTGGCCACTTCCTGACTATGGCTTCGGACCAGAAAAACTTTTTGACCTCTTCTGACTGTCACTGGGCTGATGAGGACTTTCCTAGTCACAGAATCCCGTGGTGTCAAGATAGCCATCACCTTTGCCCTCAGGGTTTATAGACTGGTCAGGGAGTGAACCTTGAACACTGATTGCCAAGTATTTAGTCAGAAATGGTGGTAAATATCCTAAGAGCAAGTATGGCAGGGAGGGGGTATCTGGGTGGTCGGGAGGGTGCTTGGCGTGGGATTCAGTGAGGCTCAGTAGACAGGGTGATGTGTATCATTAAGGGGAGCACCTGGTGTTCTCAGAGAGGGAAAGTTGGTTCTTGGTAAGAGCAGAAGGTCCCAGCCAGCACTCACCTTCAGAAATGGGGACTTATGTTTGTGGGAAACTAGCTCCACTGTATCTGCTATAAGATACTGCAGTTGTGACAGGAAATGGCTGTTGTCACGTAGCTCTTTCTCAGGTACCCTGGACTCATGGGCTCTATCAGCTGGGCTGGAATCTAGGATCCGGCTGAGGCTGCCCCCAGCTGCACGTCTTCTCCGCTGTGTGTGGGTGAGGTGTTCAACCTCCTTGGGCCTCCAGTCTCCTCGCTGTCAGATGGGTTTGATGAGATAATCCACACTCGCTCGATGAGGTCCTCTGGGAGTATCTTTGTACAAAGGAGCCCAGCACCTGACTCCCAGAACGCAAAGGGAAAGATGGGTCGCTTAGCTGTGGCATGTGAGAGCAGGAACCAGACAGGCAAGCTGATTTGGAGGCCTTGAGGCTAATGCACAAGCCCAGACTCGATCCTACCTGGAAACTGGAGTGCTGGGAACGTGGTGGGTGTGCATGACTGCAGGGTCCTGGATGTGGACCTGCTGCGCCCGACGCCCTTGGGGCTTGTGCAGAGCTCAGTTCTCCAGGGCAGGTTCTTGCACACCAGTTGCGTCGTGGGAGATGGGAATCTCAGTTCCTGTGATGGTGTCAAAAGCAGCCTGGGAAGATTGAGGAAGGTTGGGTTAGAGAGGTTCCAACCCACTTCCTGCCCCTGAGTTAAACTATCTGCTGAGGTCTGTGTGTATGTATGTGGCTGATGTGAAATGGGCCTTAGATGATGCCAGGTACTGGCAGGGCTTTGCATTCTGGCATCCAGCAGTGTGTGTAGGGCTCACGGAGACAGATGGGGCATGACTGGGGTGTAAGGGACAGGGATGGGATTGGGATAGTTCCCAGTGACATTTGAGGAGGTTTACATGGGGTGGAGGGAGCAGCAAAGAGGTCTGGGGGCTATAGAGGTCTCATTTTGTCTGTGTTTGGGTCTGAATCCATGTACCCCTGCTACACCTCTGCACCAGCCCTTTCTGGGGTCTCTGCTGCACCTGGAGCTCTGCTTTTTCCCGAGGGGGCTGGGCCACTGAGGCACTCTCACTGTAGTGGGTGATCATATGGGGCAGTCATCTCTCCAGCTCCTGCCTCAGTTTTCCCAACTTCACCGTCGACCCTCTGCCTGTGTGTGGTGTGTAGGAGACTTAGACAAAGGATAGTGTCTGTCCTGAGCTGGTCCAGGTGACATGGGCCCCCATGTCCTTCCCATCACCAAGAAGGAGCCAAATACCGTAGTAACTTCTGACCTAGTTGCCCAGTGTATGGAGTGAGTGCTCAGTGAATTTAGCATCTGTGTGTCATCCTTGGTGCTCTGGCCACTGTTGTTGCTATGGTGATGATGCTAGGGGGAGAAGTAACTAATTCATGACAAGTCATTGGCTAAGGATCAGTGTTCACAAGTTAGGGCCCAGCAAACGGGCTGTTTCCCCACCTAGAAGAGGAGCAGTTGCCACCTTGGCCCTTGGAGATAAGTTCTGCCGATGGGAGGGACTCATTCCATCTCACAGTCCCCTTGCTGGATGTGGGTTTCTACCATTGGCCACTCTGATTTAATTAAAATGTCTGGGCCTGACCACGACCCAATGTCAAACCACAGACCTTGAGTCCTCAGCTGCTGCTGGATTTCAGAGCCCTGGTGTTGAGGCCATCCTCCGTTTACAGGTGGGGAGACCGAGGATTGTAGCCGGGAGGTGACGTTTGAGCAGAGACGCAGCTTCCGTGAGGGGGCCAGCCAGGTAGATATATGGGGAAGAGTGCTCCTCCAGAGGGGATGGTGTGTAAGCCCTGAGATGGGCAGGACCAGCGTGAGGCTGCCAGGGTGAGAGGGCAAGAGGGAGGGCAGAGGCAGCCTGGACTTGGGTCTGGAGGAGGCGGAGCTGTGGGAGTGGCCTTGCCAGATGGTTCTGGACCTGACCATGTGCTGATTGTGCTTAGTGCTGAGATAGGGCTCCATAGTGACCTGCACAGACTGGTTGGGTTCAGGCAGCTTTTGGGACATTGGAGGACAATGGGACAGGAGAGAAGTGAGTGCCCAGGAGCTGTAATGACCCTTAAAAGTGGGAGAATAGGTTGCTCATTTCCAGCAGGTCAAACTGAAGTTCATTCTGAGGCCACATGGCACATCTACAAGTCTGTGGTGAGGGCTCTACTAGGATTTGGACCTTCCTGTGAACCTGGAGCTGAAGGGTTCCCTGGGCAGACTCCTGGTGATGGGCAGGCTTGTCTGACGTTGCCATGTTTATGGGGTGTCTGGTTCCCTGCATCCTAACTGTGGTCAATGCAGACCCCCCTGCAGCCACATTTTCCCGTGGCCCTGTTCACAAAGCCTCCTGTAGCTCATGTGAAACTGTGAAATAAACAACAGGCTGAGGGCTGGCAGATGGGTGGTAGGAGGAGCACCTGAGTGACACCCCACTGGCTGGGAATCCCGTGTTGGGTTATGATTATGGTGATCACTCTCTGTGGTAGAGCTGTCCCTTGGCCTCACACCCATTTTTAGGAGGGCAGAGGACTGCTATCCTCACCATTTCTTATAACAGTTTTCTGAGATACGACCCATTTAAAATGTATACTTCAGTGTGGTTACTATATTTGGAGTCCCGTACCAAAGCCTTCCATCCAATTTCTGAATATTCTATCACCCCAAAAGAAACCTGTCCTCATCAACAGTCACCTCATCTCCCTCCCCTGACAACCACCAACCCACTTCCTGCCCCTGTGGATTTGCCTGTTTTGGAGAGAGCACATAAATGGAATCATGCACTGTGTGTAGCCTTTTGTACCTTCTCCCACTGAGCTTGTGTTCAGTATCCATCCTTGTTATAGCGAGTGTCTGCATCACACTTTTTCATGGTTTAGTAATGTTCCAATATGTGGGTGACCACATTCAAGCATTGATGGACACTTGGGTTGTTATGGCTCTTGTGACTTGAGACATGGTCATAGTTGGATAGGATTTTTTGTAGGTGTGTTTTTATTTTTCTTGGTGGACACCGAGCATTTCAAGGTCATGTGTGACCTTCAGAGGAACTGTTCACTGTGTTAGAGAGAGACTGCCCATTGCACTTTCCCACCAGCGTGATGTAGGTTCTGATTCCTCCATATCCTCGCCAGCACTTGTCACTGTCATCTGTTTGAGTGTAGTCGTCCCATGGGTGTGCAGTCTGTCTCATTGGTTGTGACCTGCATTTCCCTGTTACCAGTGGTGTCAAGTGTCTTATGGGTAATGGCCATTTGTGTATCTGAAGAAATGATCCTTTGCTCATTTTTTAATTAGGTTGTTTGTCTTTTTAATGTTGGATTGTAAGGATTCTTTATATATTTGGGATACAAGGCCCAATGACCTGCCCCCCCCCTCTCCCCCCGGCTCTGGCAGCTTTGCTTTTGGCAGCCAGGCAGGTGAGAGGGACCAGGGTGCGCTGTGGAGTGCCCACTGTCCAGATATAGGTGTCCAGCACCCCATCATGGGGCTACTCCTGCAGAAAGTGGTGCCACATGGGACTGTAAACAGCCACACCTCTCTCAGCACATGGGCCGTGCTTCTGAAAGTCACCTTGGGCAGAAGCAGGTCTTGCACACGTCTTGTGTCCTTTTTATGGCTTTAGGGACACCTGTGATAACCCTGAAATCTGCACACACCCAACAACACGATGTAGGTGGGGCTTGTTTGAGGGACATGGCATGGTTTCAGGGCTCCTATACATTGTGCCTGAGGCTGGTCCTTTGCTCTCCCCTCAGGACATCATAGTCTCTGCCATCAAGCTGTGGGCGGGAGGAATGCAGGGGGCATGGCCAGTGTGGATGGGGTCACACTCCAGCTTAGGGTCACAGATCCTCTGCCAGGGCTGATAGTATGTTCCAGAAATTCCATTGTGGGGCATCTACAGGCCAGTCCCTCTGCCCTCAGTGGCCACCTTCCTGGGAGCTGAACGTCCTCTGAGCCCAGATAGCCCTGGAGTCCCATACACAGTCTCTTGTGCAGCCATCTAAGAGTATAGGGTCAGGCGCCTGCCTGGGACCACATCTCCTTTATGTGTGTGTAGGGGGGTCACTTGAACATTCTCTTAAACAGCTTTACTGGACCCTCATTAGCTGGCCTGTGGTGGCTACAGGCCTTGTCAGAGCCTTCATCAGCTAATAAGCTGAGTGGAAACACTGAAACTCTGTGACTGGGATGTGGGCGGGTGGGTGGGTGGGTGCAGGGGAGATCACCTGCAGAGGAGCAGGTATCTACAGAGGTTGTAGCTCTGGTTGATGTGTGCCCGTGCCCAAGTCCTGTCCATACCCACCAAGCTGGACCTCTGCTGAGTCTATCCCTGGAATGCAGCAGTTTCTTGAGGTGACACCCATCCTGGGCTCATTCCTATCCCTCTGCTGCTTGCTGGGGCCTCAGACCAGGGCCCAAGATGTGTCCTGCTCCAGGCAGGGATGTCCAGTAAGCCCACAGAGGCAGAGTCCATGGGGGCCAGGATCCTGAGATCACACTCACCTGCTCTCTCCTCCCACAGGATTACATCTGCCCACGATGTGAGTCTGGTTTCATCGAGGAGCTGCCAGAAGAGACCAGGTAATGCAGCCCCTTGGTCACAGAGGCCTCGGGCCCGGGTGCATGCTGGTAGGATCCAGGCTTCTGGGGTGAGAGGGCAGAGTTGTGCCGAGGGAACATTGGGTGCTGCACCCAGTGCTGGTTCAGAGCCGTTTCGGTGAACAGATCCTGGGAGGGTGATGGTGGGCATGGGGTGGGGTTGGGGCAGTGCCCTGAAGTCCCTGAGCAGCCAGAGATTAGAATGGTCTTCACTCTCCTGACTTGGGATGAGGGCAGGGGCTGCTGAGGGTGGAGAGTGACCCTGAGGCCCGTGGGGGTCAGGCGGGGGTCCTGCCTCTTCTCCAGCGGGTCGCCCCACTGCTGACTTGCACCGTGTCCACCCAGGAGTACAGAGAACGGTTCCGCTCCCTCTACAGCCCCCACAGACCAAAGCAGGCAGCCATTTGAGGTGAGTTGACTGGCCTCCCCTGACAAAGGATCATGCCCTGCATGGCTGAGGAAACAGACTCAGCCCCTTGTCCTGCAGGTGGTTGCTCCCCCCACTCCCCAACAGGCAGGGTTGTCCTTCTCCCTGACTACTGGGGCCTTTGTTTGTTTTGTGTTTTTTTAACTTAAAAAAAAATTTTTTTTAATTGATTTGAAAGAGGGAAGAGGGGGGCGGATAGAAAGAGAAGCAGTAACTTTTTCCTCTTAGTTATGTATTCATTGGTTGATTGTTATATGTGCTGTGGCCTTGGATCAAACTTGAAACCTTGGTGTATTGGGATGATACTCTAACCAACTGAGCCCTGGGATCTCTTGAACTCCCCATCCTTGGTCCCTCCTCCGAGAGCCTCCTGCATCCTGCATGTGCACCAAGATTTCTCTGGTGTCTTCCTGCCCCTTGAAGCCCTGAGCCTAGAACAGTGCCCACAGTGGGGAGGAACTGTGGTGCCCATGCAAGGGGCCCACGGTCACGGCCTTCCTCCTGCAGAACGTGGACCAACACCTCTTCACGCTGCCGCAGGGCTACGGGCAGTTTGCTTTCGGCATCTTTGATGACAGCTTTGAGATCCCCACGTTCCCCCCAGGGGCGCTGGCCGACAATGGCAGAGACCCCGAGAGCCGGCGGGAGAGAGAGCAGCAGTCCCGGCACCGGTATGGCGCCCGGCAGCCACGAGCCCGCCTCACTGCGAGGAGGGCCACCGGCCGGCATGAAGGCGTCCCCACGTTAGAAGGGTGAGGGGACTGTGGGGGGCAGGTGGGTGGGTGGGTTGCTCTTGGGGGCTTCTGGCCTGCCCACCCCACTCAGAGACCATCTGCCCATCCAGAAGATGGTGCGGATGTTGCTTCTTGACAGGGCAGATCTCCCATGAGTTCTGGCAGAGCCACCCAAGCCCACCATGCAAAATGGGGTAGTGCAATAGGGGTCGGGGCCCTTGCTGGGGGGCTGTGGGGGCTGAAGTGTGGCTCAAGGACCTGGACAGGGCTGGGAGAGCCTCATGTCCACTGAGTGTCCCCATTGTCCTTCTGAGCAGGGCTTCATTGGATGTGGCTGGTTCACCTTCAGATCTTTTTCCCAGAGCAGCAACGAGCTGGTAGTTCCTGATATCTCTGCCCTGTAACGGGGCCCCTTGCCCCCTCCTGTGTGCAGGTACCCAAATGGCTTTTTAGCTTGATGACTGCACAGGAAGGGTAAAGGCGCTCATAGGACTGAGAATAAAAACATTGTTCCTTGCAGGCCCATCTTTCCAGAGGAGTCAAGGCTAGGCTTCTCACATATCTCTGAGATAGACTTGACTGTACATGAAGCCCCTGTGTCACTTAAAATGGGCTTAAATCTACATACAGCCCATCCATTTCCCTCACTGAGCTGGAGGCATTTCTAGCTTGGCCCAGCCAGTTCCTGATGCCCTTGCTGTCTCATGTCTGAGCAGCACCCATACCCTACAGACCTTGGGCTCTGGGTACAGCAGGGTCTGGATTGGATGTTTTTGGCCTGCTGCAAACAGCAAGGTTGACCCCATGGCTCTCATGAACTCCAGAATGTTCCCCCAGATTGTATAATGGTGTCACAGCCATAGATTCCATCCGGGCCTTGGGAAAACCTGGCCTGGAACTCCAGAGAGAGATGCTTCTCTGGGTCTCTCTCATGTTTCATTCTTCCTCATCACAAATCTTACTAGTCAAAAGCACAACCTTTAAATGTTATGGATTTAGAAGCGGGCTCCAGTTTTCTGTGTGTCCTCCTTAAAGGGGCCCTGACCCTGGGAAGGCACTGACCACAGGCCTGGCCTTGCTCTGTTCCAGGATCATCCAGCAGTTGGTCAATGGCATCATCACTCCAGCCACCATCCCCAATCTGGGCCTGGGCCCCTGGTGAGTAGGTGGGCGGGTCCCCTAAGTGCCCCCCAGTCCCTCTGCTACTTGAACCCCACACGTCTCTGCCCAGGGGTGTCCTGCACTCAAACCCGATGGACTATGCCTGGGGAGCCAACGGGCTGGATGCGATCATCACGCAGGTACAGGGTGGGCCTCCCCAGATGGCACTAGGATCATCACCCTCGTTTCAACAGGCCCATTGCCCCTCGCCAGTCTCCCAGCATTGAGAGGATGAGAGGATTGTAGAAGTATTCTGGTGGATTACATCCCTGGCGTGGATGCTCAGTTTCCTAGTGCCCCAGAACTCCCATCCTGAGGCTGGGGCACACCAGCCAAAATGCTTTCTCCTGGCATAGCACCACTGTAGAGCAGGAGACCACGTGCCAAGGATGGGTGTTCACCATAACCTCTGTGGCACTTGTGAGGCAGGAACATTGCCACTTTTGGGGCTGCTTGCCAGTGACCCCTTTGAGTATTTTGTCTCTGACGGGATCTGGCCCTCTGGTTCTAGCTGATGCCTCACAGGACACAAGACCGCATGAGCCCAGGGCCCTGTCTTCCTGCTCTGGCTGTGAGGTGACACTAACTAGATGAGCAGAAGAGTGGGCAGGAGCTGGTTGCTGGGCCTCATGGGGGTGACTGACCTCTAATCCCTATATGGAGGATCTGGGGAACCAGGACAAAAGCGGCCTCAGTGCTTTTGCAGGTAACCTAGCCTTGCATTTCAGAGTCGGGCAGGGCTCCTGCACTCTGGCCTCTTGTCTTTCAGCTCCTCAATCAGTTTGAAAACACAGGCCCCCCACCCGCAGACAAAGAGAAAATCCAGGCCCTCCCCACCGTCACTGTCACCGAGGAACACGTAGGTACGTGGCCCTCAGTCACCCAGCTTCTTTTATTTTCCAGGACTTTTATGTTAGACCAAAGGTTGGCTTGAAGGGGAGGCTTTATCAGTGTCTCCTCTGTTCCCCTGGGATATAAGACTCAGGACATAGCCTCTTTCCCTCCCCTGGGTCCAAGGTGGCTCTGGATGGGCAGTTTCCCCAAAGGGACACCTTTGATTGGATGTGTCACGGGATCCCCACTCCCTGCAGGCTCTGGGCTGGAGTGCCCTGTATGCAAAGACGACTACGAGCTGGGTGAGCGTGTGCGGCAGCTGCCCTGCAACCACCTCTTCCATGATGGCTGCATTGTGCCCTGGCTGGAGCAGGTGAGCAGGTGGGTGGCCATGGCCACTGGCCCTCTCCGCCCCTGCCCCCTGCCAGCCTCTGAATTGCTCTCCTCTCTCCCCACAAAGCACGACAGCTGCCCTGTCTGCCGAAAAAGCCTCACAGGACAGAACACGGCCACCAACCCCCCAGGCCTGACCGCGGTGAGCTTCTCCTCCTCCTCCTCGTCGTCCTCCTCCAGCTCGCCCAGCAATGAGAACCCAGCAAGCAACTCCTGAGTCCCCCCACCAGTCCCCAGAGTAAGCACAGGACCCCAGCCAGCGCCAGGCCCTGTGGGCAGGGGGGACATGGACATCCCAGAGGCCAGGAGGTGCCCCCCACCTGCCTCAGCTCTCACACCACCATGGCTCCCATGGACTCCGGTGCCAGCTGTGCCCCAGCTGTGGGCAGAGGCTCGGAGGATCCACTGCCTCCAGGCTGTGGAGGAAGCCCGGCCCTCCCCCAGGATGTCCCTTGAGGGGCTGGGCACAGAGGGACGCAGGGCATATGTCGCCCTCAGGCGTCCCCAACATCCCCTGTCCCATTTGTCTCTAACCTCACCCTCTACATGTTCAACAGTGGAAAGGTTTTTATAATTTTAAATTATTACTGCTTTGAAATAAATGGACGTTAGCTCACATGCGGCCCTGCATGATCTGTGGAAAGACGGGGTAGAGCCACTCAGCTGGGGTCTTGGCCCCACCCGACAGGCCAACAGTCCCCGCCTTGTGTGCAGGGGGCTCGGGACCACAAGAATGACCAGCAAAACAGAACTGAACTGCTCTGACAGATGTTTTTTAAAGGAAAAAATATATGTATCTTGGAAGTTATTTAAAAATACACCTACTTAGAGAAGCAGGTGGTTGGCGTTTTCCTTCTGCGCCGGACCCTGGGTTGTGCCTCTTGGGCACCAGCCAACACCGCTGTCCCAAACCAGAATCCTGGAAGTGGACTGGTGACGTTCGACCAGGAGGTGCAGAGGGTCACTGCGTCGTTGGAAACATGAAACAGGAAACCCCAATGTGCTGAGCTGTCAGGTGGGGCCTCCCAGCCTGTGCTTACTGCAGCTGATGGTGTTCATGTACGAAGGCTATTCTGGAGTGCAGGGTCACCAGGGTGGAACCATTGGCCCTGACCACAGTGAGTGTCCACTCTGTACTACCACCCCCCCACCCCAATCCCCCATCCCCCGTAAGTGACCCCTGGCTTTGTGTTCTGTATTTTAAGTGGCAGGAGGCTGGGATGGGTGGAAGCCCTCACCTCACTCCCCAGGGATTACCTGCCCCAAGCAGAATGTCCCACCTTAGTTTAGGAGGAACTCCCACCCTCATAAAACCCCATGGGGTAAACGGCATCATCATTCTCACTTTATTTTTTAAAATATATTTTTATTAATTTCAGAGAGGAAGGGGGAGGGAGAGATAGAAACATCAATAATGAGAATCTTCAATCGATTTCCTCCTGTATGCCCCCTACTGGGGATCGAGCCTGCAACTCTGGCATGTGCCCTGACCAGGAATCGAACTGTGACTTCCTAGTTCATAAGTGGATGTTCAACCACTGAACCACACCAGCTGGGCAATCATTATTCTCACTTTATAGGAGGAAAAACAGGCCCAGAATGGAATTGTCTGACCCAAGGCTCCAGAACTCAGCCTTGTGGTGGGGGGTTCTGGGAGAGTGGTGGGCACTTCCCCAGGCACAGCACTTCCCATGTACTCCCCTCCATCCCCAGCCTATGGAGGACACTGACCTGAAGCCCCTCGGTCTGCACATGGCGCCCCTCCCCCTGAAGAACTAAGAAGCTTTGAAGACATTACTCAATTTCAGACCCTGTATGTGTGTTTCTATATCTGCTGTGACCACACACATTTATTCTTGAACATATCTGGGCTCAGGATATGTTGCATAAGTCTCAGGGGCTAACTAACCCCAGGTGTGTGCAGGTCTGGTCCTTCCTTAGGCTCCAGGAAAAACCATTTCTGGCCTTTTCCAGCTTCTAGAGATGCCACACCCTGGCTCGTGGCCCCTCCTCCATCTTCACAGCCAGCAGCGCAGCCTCTTCCATCTCTGACTCAGATGCTCAGACCTCCCTCTTAGGAGGACCCTTGTAATGATAATGCTCCCTCCCATAATCCAGGATCATCCCTATTTCAGGGCCTTGACTTAATCCTACCTGCAAAGTCCCTTTACAGTGTGAGGCAACCTGTCCACAGGTCAGGACCTGTCACCCTTGGTATGTCCATGTTGTCCTCTCCCTCCTGGTCCCTAGACACCCTGGTCCCTAGCTTCCCCTCTCCTCTCTATCTCAACGCTCCAATGGGTTCCCATTGCTGAGTCTTTGATAGGTTGTATCCCAGCCCAGAATACTCTTCCAAGGCCTCGTGACCTTCAGTCTCTAGTCCAGGAGGTGCCTTATTGGGGACTCCTGACTCCCCAGCACATGGCTCAACACCTACAGCCCCTACTCAGCTCAGTGTTCACCCGCCTCAGATTCAGACAAGAGTGGGTGTGGGGTTCCTGCAGGGTCCCCAGAGCCCTGCAGATAGCAGGCATTCAGTGCTTGTGAAAGGAATGAGTGACCAGACATGGTTTGGCCACAGCCTGGGCCTCCTCCAGCTTCTGGTCCCTGGCCACCTGCCCAGATGTCTTTTGGATCTTGTCTAGCTGTTCCTCACGGCCCCTCAGGGCCTCAGGAGACCATGACGGGCAGGAAATGAGTGGAAAGGTGGTGCCGCCGTGTCCGGCCACCGCGTCGAGGGACCCCCCGCCTGTCCAGCGCCAGGAACATGGGCCGGCCTCGGTGACGCCAGCGAAGTGAGGCGTAGGTGTTGTAGCCGTTCTCCTCAATGCGCTCCTGGAACCTACAGTGAGCAGTGTAGATCCGCTGTGGGGGGTCAGGAACATGAGGCCACTGGACCCTGCTTCCTGCCAGTGCCTGCCCACCACCGGCCACCCCCACCATGCACTCACCGACCCATAGAGGTGGCCCCGGCGGCTCATGGCCACGAAGAAGCCGGTGTGCACAGCCTTGAGGGCCACGACGCCCACGCGGATGGAGCGGATCTCAATGATGCCTGCTGGGAAGGGCTCGGTCAGGGCCCTCAGCCCCATCTGCTTCCCATTTGCTCATTCATTCATTCACCAAGCACCACCTGTGTGCCTGGCCCTGTGCTGGGAATGGGAACACACTGGGGCCCACACAGTCTCATCTGTGTGGGCCTGTCCAGAGGATGTGCCCTGACACATTGGAGGATGTACGTGGTGGATAGTTGGGTTTTCTCCAAAGGGTACTGGGGAACCAGAGCAAGCTGTGGAGCAGGGGGAAGTCCTGTTAGGTCAGGATTGAGAAAACCAAGCCAGAGGAGTTAGGTGCTTGCCTGAGTGAGCTGTCAATTTCAGTAAGAACAAGTATTGAGTGTAACCGTGACCGTGGGCTGTGCAGCTTCCCCCATAGTTCTCATTGCCTTTGCCATGTCTGGCCCTGACAACTGCACCAGCTGTAGCCACTCAGTTACAGGGAGAGGAAACTCCAGAAGGGAGCCCTACCCAGGCAAAGGCCTGAGGGGGGACATGGGTGTTTACAGCACAGTGCATTCAACTTGATAGCTGTTAGCACTGTTTGAGTGCCAACTCTATGCCAAGCACTGTACCCCACTAAGCCCACACAGTTCTGGGGTCAGGCGTCTTACATAATCTTAGGGGGCTAACCCCAGGTGTGGGCAGGACTGGTCCTTCCTTAGGCTCCAGGAAGAATCATTCTGGCCTTTTCCGGCTTTAAGAGGTGCCACATCCCTGGCTCGTGGCCCCTTCCTCATCTTCACAGCCAGCAGCGCAGCCTCTTCCATCTCTGAGCTGACCCTCCTGCCTTCCTCCTCTGAGGGCCTTTGTGACGATACTGGGTGCTGACTGTGCCCACTTCCCAAGGGGGAAACAGGCCTCGGGGAGCAGAGGCAGCTTCAGGCCCCATCTGTTGGTGGGTGGCCCTGGGTGAGCTCTGCCTGGCTCTGAGCCAGTGTCCAGTGAAGCAGGACTTCAGGATGAGACACACATACCCTCAGCCATGCACTGGGGTCTAACCTGGGTACCGCCTATATGCTGTGCTAGGCATGAGGGACATAGTGGTGACCAGAGACAGCTCATCTTCATGGGGTCAAATCTGTGCACAGAGGTCTAATCTGGAGTCAAGGTTTTGCCCTCCGGTCTTCAGTTTGTACTTGGATACCTGAGATAACAAGGAGCTTACCCCATGCCCCATGGGGCCTTGTACCTGCTGTTCCCTCAGCCAGGCCCCTGGCTCCTCTTGTGCATGGTCAGCTCCTTTTCTTGATATGAGGTTCAACTCAAGCCCACTTCCTTGGAGAAGCCCCCAAAACCTCCCAGATAAAGCAGTCCCCCAGTTACCTCTTGTACATTGCCCTGTTTTCATTTTCTCTGCACCACATGTGGTCCCCTCTGAAATTATATCACACGTCTAACCTCTTTACCCTCTGTGCTGGCACCACGTGAAGGTGAGCTGTCCCGGTCACCCCTCTGTCCCTTGTGCCCAGTACAGCATACAAGAGTTGCCCAGTAACCACTGAATTAATAATGAAGGACATAAGACCTCCAAGTCCAACCCACACAGAGCCATCAACCAACCATCTATCATTCCATCACTGCCCAGATGGGGAAACTGAGGCTGGGATAGAAGAAGCAATAGTCTCAGGTCACCCGGCAGAGCCAGGCCTCATCCCCAGCCTGAGGCCACCCTACCCGGCTGTGTCCACCACCAGTCAACCGGCCCAGCCAGTCCCCTGTCATTGCCCTGGTCTAGTGACTCTAATGAGGGCCTTGGGAGCCCCAGATGAAAGCATCTGGGAAGGGCAGGGGTGATTATCTGCCCTAATGGTGGTGATTCAGGCAGTGGCCAGCGATTAGCTTCATTCCTCCAGCCCCCCACCCACCCCCGCCCGGGGCTCAGGGTTGTGGGGAGACTGAGGCAGGCTCATGGCGTCACCCACCACCCTGGCTTCCCAACTGTCCCCAACCCCCTTCTCTTTGCCCCTGCGTCTCCTCTTGCCTCATACATTCCACAGATACTTATTGAGAGCCCATTGTTTACCAGGCGGGGCAACTGGGACAGTGACTCGTCTCGGTGAGGTTCTGGGAGCATCAAGGAACCCCAGCGATACAAACCCCCAGCAGTGTGACCCTGGGCAGGTCATTTCTCCTCTCTGTCTCAGTTTCCTAGAAAGAA